TAGCGAAATGCAAAATGAAGTTACGTTCGGCTAAATGATTTTCTAATTTTACGCTAACTTTGTAATACGCAATATGTGTTTCATTTGTTACATGATAGAATCGTTCGCTCCATATAAAAATAGCAAATGTATTTAAATCTCCGATAGCACATTGTTACGGCTTGAACTACAGATTTTTTCAATAGGGATGATTGACGCGTACATTTAGCTTAGTGAACTCACGGATCCAAGCTTACTACATTACAAATATTAATATACTACATTTACGCATCATACACATTCACGTATGCTTTTTAATAATAATATAAAAGAGTGAAATTTGAAGAAAAATAGAAGCAAAAGATAATACAATATAAAAAGAAGAAGAAATTTTTAAGTATATTTTAAGTAAAAGTATTAAGTACGTGCACGTGTTAAAATATTTTAATTAAAACCGCAAAGTTAAATAAAATTTCCTGATTCTGCTTTATTCATAGTTTGAATGATGTAAACACATCCTGTGTATCTCAAAGTTTTATATGCAATATATATATACGATAATAAAAATGCATTCGTATTTTTTATATATTAATATAAAACAATGGAAGATTTGAGAAATTATAAGAAGGTAAAAGTTAAAATAATTAATAATTATCGAAAATATATATAAATTTTTCAGAATCAGTCGTAATTGTAAATTAACTTGAATATAAAAGAAGCCGTTAGGAGATTACAAAGAGTCATTTTTATTTAAAAAAAAAACCGATGGATAAAGTCTTGTACGATGGATATAAAGAAGTTGAGCGCGATTTATTTGAAGTTAAAATAATACAATTATTCAAACTTCTCGGAATAATAATCAAGCGAGGTATGCTGCATAATACGTCACGCAGTAAATAAGTTTTCGAAAAATTAATTGCAACGGGAATAGTTGGCGAACTTCTCAGAGTTTCGAGTGAACTGACTAATACAGAGTTTGCCATAGATGTTGTGTAGTTTGATAAAGTAAGTTTGCTACCTAAACTTTGAGAACCACAGAAGAGGCTTTAGGTTCCACTTCACGGATAGCTACGAAAATAAGTGCGCGGGAGCGCTTCCTGCGCGCGATAGTACATATGCTTTATGAACATTTCGTTATTACTATTACAACGCGTAATAAGACACAGCGCGGCATCGTATTTCGAATTGCATACTCCAGCGTGAAATAACATTTGCATAATTGGAGGATAAGAAATGCAATATACAGAGAAAGCATAAAATGTATAAATGTAATTCAATGTAAAATTTCGTTATTACGCCACGTTTACTGTTATATTTAATTATAAAAATTTGCAATATTTAATAATACAATCTCTAACGGTAATGCGGTAGTTTTGTGCATTAAGTGTTGTTAATTATCGTAAGAATCTTTACGAGTGGTGTTTAAAATGTATTTAGAAAAGCAAGTTTTTATTAAATTAAAGAATATATAAGGATATATAACCATACAGTCCATAAAGTTAACATAACGTTGCTGAAACGTTGCAATGTTGAATATTGAAGTATAAATATTTTTTCTACGTTGAATCTAGGTTAATGTTTGTAAATTCATTTTTTATATTGCTACAATGTTAAAACAATCTTAAACAAATTATTATTTTTTGACACTCAAATAGAAATACTTAAAAAATGTATAATTATGAAATGTATATGTAATATTTTTGCAACGGTCAGAAATTTTCTGAGCTAAGATTTGATTTTAGTGGAATAATTTCAGCACTACTTCCAACAGTTGTAAAAAATATTCTGCTAAACGCGACCAATGTTAACTCAATATAATTTAACATTGTTTTCTGAATGTTGAATTGTAACGTTTACGAGATATTACAAGTCAGCGGACATTAGACGGTTTTGCAATATCTTTTCAACGTTGAATCTATACATTTCGTAACATTGATGCAATATTGTAATGGATCGTTTCTGAGATGTTGATTCAACATTTGTGTGCTGTATGGGATATTCTCTCATCATAAATAGACCCATAATTATAGTAAAATTAATTTGTTCCCCCAAGAATATTTTTCCGCCGTACTAAAAATTTAGAGTTGAAGACAACAATTTCGTTCTATGAATGTTAAGAATTTTAAAGTTATTTTATAGACATTACTCTTCAATGTTTATACGCGTTCAAAAATATTCTATGTGCTTTTAAGGCGGTTGCAGGAGCATTATAGTCGCATATCTGACGGTACAAGAAAAATAAATTTAGTTAGAGTCTACTTACAATTAGTATACTCGGCTGGAATTCGCGTGACTAAAACCCCGAAGAACCAAACGAGTGTCAGCATGACGAATCCCGGGTGCGCCAGACCGAACATCTCGCTTCAGATCTGCTGAGGCTTTGTCGGAGGGCAATCAAAAAGTGTCACACTCTCGTTGATGTCGGCTCTTCTTTATACGTGCGACCACGATCGCATCTTCCTCGTCTCGATTTCCTTCTCTGTTGCCGCCCATCGCCCTTGCCATCGTCGCTTTCCGCGGTGCGTGGCATGTCGCGAGGCCGTGAACTTCGGATCTGACAATGACTCGTGGCCATCGGTACACACGGAATTACCCGTGTGTTCGGTCGCAGCGGAAATCCACTGATAAAGCCCGAGGCGACCCTGGTGGAATGTTCAAGGCGAACGTTCGCGAAAATTTCTCACGCGTGGGACTGTAGATTGGTTAGAGACCAAAAAACAATAGAGCATTTAATTGTACGTGTGTAGTAAAAGCGAAATTGATTTATTTCATTCAATCAATTTTTACGTGTCAAGGTGCGTCGTCGTGATTCTATAAATCTCGTTTCGGTTGCATGCTACGTGCTCGCTACGTACGGTATAAGGTCGAAATGTCGTTTTAAATCCGACCCTGCAGAGCTACGCAATTACAATATCCGTATCTTGTATAGTTCGAAGCTACTTTTCTTCGGAGGAAAGTTTGCTACAAAAACATGAAAATTCCAAAATTTTTACTCTATAATTCAGAATGTATTCGTTTTCAAGTACTTTTTATGCTTGTTGGTATGACAAAATTAAAAATAACTTGGCATGTGGTATGTTGAAAAACATACATGGTATGAAGGAAACATATCTAGCAAATCCGGCACTTTTTAAATGTGCATTAGCTGTGTTTAATGTTCTTTTTGTATTTCTAATTTTGCGTAATGCGTTTAATGGTGCTTTTAGGCGCGAAATATACGCGCTGCATGGCAATGTGCAGCAACGTCGGAGATCGTGATTGCAATCATGAACTTGTATACATATATTGCTATTACGTGAATTGCACGTACATCGCGGTTCCAGATCTTCGGATGGTCCGGTTGCTGCGGCGAATAAACACGGTCATCGTATGTAATCATAGCTCGCACGTGCATACGTTCTGTACGACGTCGTCTGTCATCGGCAAATGGCAATCGGATTATGTATCTACGAGCAATCGCTGTGACAGGTGGGCAGGATAATCAGGAAACTGGGAGCTGTCGTTTACGAGAGTTTCAGAACAAGTCGCGCACCAGCGTTGGTAGAATAGCCTAATTAGTCGTCGCACCCACAGGAAAAATTTCCGGATCCAATGCTATTACACTTCAATGTATCATAAAATAGGATCGATATAGCGCCAATCATATTTATTATAGAGAGAAAGGAATATTTTCATCTTAAATGAAAAATTTTTTAATCTAGAATAAAATGATAGTATGTATCGTCTTTTGTCGAATATCGTGGTGCCAACTTCATGCGTTGTAAGATGGAGGGAAAATTTATTCTAAACGCAAGAATATCTAAATTTACATTTATATAAGTTACTCTTGTCTCAAAATAGTAAGTCAATCTTTTTTAATTCGATAGAGGCGAATAAGAATTATTGATTTTATTTTGATATTGTCTTATTTTTATACTAAATGAGGTTGCGAGAAATATAAATGCGTAAAGAATATTTTGTGTCTCGGTAACAGAAATCGTTTCTGAGGGTGCAGGGTTCTGAGAAAATTCCGATTTCTATGCCTATATATTTTTGCGGTAATGTGCAACTGCGACTTTAGAGTCTCATAATGTCGTGCTAAAAGAATATCCCAAAAAATCAGTGTCGACGGCAAGTAAAAGATTAAAATTTTGCGGGTGTAGTAAACAATTATATTGTTTCTCGTTTGTTCCCGATATTCGCGCTAATTGTTATATAATATATATGTAGATTGCATGTGTGTAATTATAATAATTTCTTCGAGTGAAAATAGCAAATTACGGCACGTGATTATATAGGATTTGTCCCTTCTAATTTATAAACCGTTATGCGATATTCCCTTGCTAATGTATCGCTTAATCGAATTTAGAAGTTTAGAATTTTGGGTGATCGAACGTTCAAAAGAATGAAAAGAAACAGCCGATTGCAGAGGGAGCAATTCATCAGCGTCTTAAAATTTATCTCGTGCTCATCTCGCTGGCAGCTTCGACTTCTCGCTGCAAAGCTGTTCACTCACGAAGATAGAGTTTGTGATTCTGTGTAGATCGATTCTGGAAGGGACCGTTTCCGATATTTATCTCCCGTCGTATCGTGACGATACTCAATGAATGTTAATGAAAACAAGATTGCCCGCAGACATCAATTAAGGAAAATGTGGAACACGTACTTGAATAGCTAGCAGTGTCGATACATATCTTTTATTTTTCCTTGTTGCGATACTTGTGATATCTCCGGGTTACATATCCCTCAACTCTTTCTCCATGGCGAGAGGAAAAGCCACATGTTACATGTACGGATAACAAAGGAAGAAAGACCTCAAACGTACTATGAAGAATGTAAAAAAAAAATGAAACAAAAGCACCGAACAATCTTTATATCGCGGAAAGATGAAGTCTTTGTAGAATTTCATGGAATCGTACAAACGTATTTAAGATTTCGAGAATAATTTTTCACTCAACGTCCATGAACGAAATATGAATATTTCCTGATGCAACGATAAAACTTAACGAGATAATTGACTCTAGGTAGTTGTCGTTCCTTACACACGCGCAACTGCGCTAAATTGCTTCTCCAACTTCGCGTGAATCGGTGAAGGCATGTGCCAAGAGACGTGCTCCGTGTCCACGTGGGAGTCGGGCATGTACACGCCGCAAGTGTTCATTCGTGCAGGTGCATGTACGATCGCAGGTACGCGCTGCGGGGATATGAAAGCGAGAGTAGCTCCGCTATTACTCCATCCACGATCCGTTGAACTTGACCCACTATTTGTCCCGCGATACGATATGGTTCTCGGCATCTATAGCGTCGCGCATCTTCATGTCGTCTCACCTCCTTCGTTTTCCTCTCCCTCGTTGGAGTTCAGCTACGCGGCGGGATGTTGTCTGAGTTACCTGCGCTCAGCAGGTAACGCGAAATATTTCTGTAGCTGAGTAAGCGGGTCAAGTTCGTCCCGTGGCTCGGAGACGAGATAACGCGGTAGACACGGAAGTCCAATTTCGTCACGGTTGCCATCACATCGAAGATATCTCCGTATAAATATTACTAATCGGGGGCTTAACGATATTTGCTCCACACATGATGAGAAATTCTTCGCTAAGATAATATATTTGCCATTGTGACGTCGAGTGTTAAACAACGTGTCATGCGTGTAAATCATATGTGTAAATTTTCCGTCGCGAAACACACACGGGTTCTGTTTATATGGGTATAAATACAGTGGTATAAATACAGAGCTCTATTTATGTGGTATAATACAGAATAATATTACTATAAAGGAATATGATATTAGAATTTAACTGAGAATAAACTATCTTGGCGTTTAAAAATAGGCACAATATCAAAGTGATTGAAGGAGATTGTTTAAGACGAGTAAAAGTTAATTGGTAAAAATTCACGGCTCAACTTTCTCTCCCCAGTTTGCTTGTTCGAAATTACTTCCTCCATGCTTCGCGGGCGTGTAGCTAGTTCCGAGGTCGTGATTAGGAGACTTTTGACGGCGTGGCATTACCCGCTTACGAACATGACCTGGGTAAGGTCGTGAACATTGAATGTTACGAGATACCAGGGAGTCACTGACCGAGGCCAAGCAGACAAAAGTTTCGTTCAATACACCTGAGGTAGACGGCCTTGACAGCCCACAGTTCCCGAAAACTGTTGCCGCATATTTGTTCATTATTTAGATACACATAGAAATAATGCTGGCCAAATACGGTCTTAGAATAAAGCGGGTGAATATTCGTAACTTACGAACATGTACTTATCTAACAAATATGGCCACCGGCGACAATTTTATCTAACATTTTTACTTATTATGAAAACCCCAGATGCAGTTCAACTCAATGGTAAAAAAATGAAAAGTTATCATTTATTTCTGGGTGTCGAGAAAATATGAAACTGCACCCACAGAAAAAAATTCCGGATCCAATGCTATTAGGTACATTTGAATGTATCATAAAATAGGATCGATTATGCGCCAATCATACTTATTATAGAGAAAGAAATATTTTAATCTTAAATGAAAAATTCTAAAATTTTTATAAATATATATAAAATATAAATATAGATAAGAATAAAATGATAGCATGTATTTTGCCGAATATCGTGGTTCCAACTTTGTGCGTTGTAAGATGGAGGGAAAATTTATTCTAAACGCAAGAATATGTATGTAAACTTACATTTATATACTAAGTTATTCTTGTCTCAATATAGTAAGTCAATCTTTTTTAATTCGATAGAGGAGAATAAGAATTATTGATTTTATTTTGATATTGTCTTATTTTTATGCTAAATGAGGTTGTGAGAAATATAAATGCGTCAAGAATATTTTTTGTCTCGGTAACAGAAATCCTTTCTGAGGGTGTGGGATTCCTTGAGACTAATAGTCTTTTAAATTTAATTGCGGGAATTTGTTTCGAAGGAACTTTGGAACTCTAGGGTGAACTCTATCAATTATATCGAAATTCTGAAAACGAGATGCCAACTCCACAGAGGTAACGCGGTGGTCCTTGCGAAAATTAAATTGCAGAAGTCGAGAGTATAGAAGTCCAATAGGGGTATCAATAGACTGCATAGGCTGTCACGAATCGGGTTATGACCGGAAGCGAGCGAAATGGTGAACGAAACTTGCCCGGCGCGCGGCTATTGAGGAAGAAGAGCCAATCACAGTCCAATTCATGAAAAGGAAAATTAAATTTCGTTGAAGCGAGCTCGCAGAATGACATCGTAATGTCAGCTACGTGCGCAATATACATACATATAGGCCGAGGCTTTTTTTTCGGGAACTGACCCGATGCGCCCGAAATCAAGCAGTTCCTCGAATGAGAACGGCGCCGTAGTATTCCCGATAAATCGAAATCGGTAGAACCTCGATATGCTTATATTTTTCGATAACCGCGAATATTTCTGGCATTGTTTTGAAATATAACAAATAGTTGTTGCAATTTGAATATATATATATTTGTAATAAAGCTCTGTGATTTTTACAATTTTTATGTTTTCTATGGAATGTAAAATTTTTGTTTCGCGCAAAACTCTGTGAATATTCATCTTAGCAATATTAATATTTGCATCTGAAATTGGAATGTAAGTAGATCGAGAGGTTGAGCAAAATTATTTGTTTGCGTCGCGTGGAATTATTTCAACAAGCAACTAGTTTGACGAAAATTGAGATTGATTTCGCCTCCTGCATATGAATTGATTGCACGGCATTCAACTCGTCATACCGGAAATGGAGACCTATAAATAGCGATCTGAAATTTTACTTCTGTACACAAGCATAATAAAAATATTCGTCAATATTGATCTGTAAATTTTTCAATCTACGTTCGCAATAAATCGCTTAACTGGTTTACGATTATTTATGAAATGCTACACCACGCGCGTCAATTTACTCGCGCTCGATATACCTGCGTATCTCGTACGTCGCTAAACCCACTAATACCGCTAAACCCACTGGTAATTAATACGTTTCAAAAGTTTAACTTCGTTAAGGCAATTTCGGCCTTCCGGTATAATCGATACGTAAATGAAGGATTAATCGTTTTGACACATGTGCCAGGCAGTTTTGTCGTGACGCAAAGCGGCGCCTCATGTAAATAAAACTTGTTAAGAGATAATCACGAGCCTCCATTAACTTCAATAAAGTATTTAAGGCAACGTTAATGGAACTCACCGCTGGTATACTGCGGCATCAACGAAATAATAAGTCGCGGGCGAGCGTCGGTCGGCAATATAATGCACGAACGAAATTCGTTTAACAATTTAAGCGACGCCCCGGGAGCGGTTCATTGAGCGCATTCAATCGCATTTGTACACACAAAAACCTCTGATTAAATGGCGGTACATATGTATCTGACGTACATGCATGCCGCGGTATACTCGCGAATTCGTTGCGCGTATCAGCGCGATATTTCCATTGATTTCGATCGCAAACCGCGGATGCAGCTTTCGATCGACCAAGAAAACTTTTTGTATCAACGATATTGGAATTTATGAAGATCCAGCGGGATATTGCGCTTTATGAGAGTCGTGCAGAAACCTGTATAGTTGGATACAAAGCAGGCTCGAGGAAATATATCGCTTAGTATTATTCTGCATCGTGATATCGTAATTTTGAAGGTTTAAGATTATGGTGACTAATGATGAATAACAACTCTGAAAGCACCTGCGAATGAGGAAGCATCTGTTGATCCAATTTTCCTCGAAGGCTTTTTCATTTCGCGACAAATGGGAACTCGTGGGAAATGGGTCACAAGTTTTAGGCGCAATCATAAATGTACTATATGTGTATAAAATCGCGCGCAATGCAGCATGCACTTGCATTACGTATATCTCAGTGAATTTTATTGAACGCAGTTTCGATTAAGCTATGCATATTGTGCGCACCCGAAACGAATTATATCGGCAGTTTTTGGAATTTATTATTCTTTCCGTACAGTTTTTGCACTGGGACAATTGGGTTCGCGCAATAACTTACAGAAACAGCAACGGTCCGCGTGATACTTATATAGAATGTACCACTACTCGTACGTATTATTATTCTCTACTGCATTGCAAAATATGACCGGACAATTTTATATATTAAAAAAATTTAAAGAATTATTTAACACTATAATCTCGATTTAAAGTATTTAAATATTTTACGGCAAAATTTAGCTAATCTACTTTGAAAGAAGTGGGTTTGTTTCTTTTTACGATTCTTTAATTTTCAGTCTCTTTGTGCGTAAATTCTCAGAGCATTTTGCAAAACTTTATGAGAGCTTTTTGAAATTTTACCATACACGATCACACGATTTCCATGGTAAAGAAGAAAAAATTCTCTCCGTATACGTATGTGTCCTATCCGAAAGAAGAGGTGCATAGGTGTAATGTGACATTGGCACATGGCACTGCGCTTACAACTTCAGTGTCACGAAGATAAACTGCAAACCCGGTTTGACATCGACCTAGTCTCCCTGGCCTGGAAAGATGACCGCGTAATCAGCATCGCTGACTTTCATCCTTATCAGCGTGACAAACGAGGATGGAAAATATCGACTCGTCGAAAGGCGCGGCGAGGAAACAACCGACTGTATAAGCGAACATTTACATAGGCCATGGGATATCTATCTGCAAGGTTGGTCAGTATTCCACGAGGTCACTGATAAAAATACACAAAAAGGACAGGAAATAACCGCACTCGTAACTCGAATGCAAACTCGATCGCTTCGAGAACGGAGCCGTGGACGACGGGGTTGGGAAAGTTACTTTATAAAAGTATCTAGTTACAGTTACAGTTTTTCGTTAAAAATGTAACTAGTTAGAGTTACAAGTTACTAATTCTGAGAAGTAACGTGTTACAGTTACTCAAAAAGTAACGAATCGTTACTTTGCAATTACCTTCTTGCAATGAAAATAAAAATATTAAATCTGTAGTTGAATTATAATATAAAGTGTTGATAAAGCCCGGATAGCACAAAGTATTGGCGTAGTATTGGGAAATAATGTAAATGCAATACAGTGCAATTATTGATACGTAACATTGGCGTTACATTAGCCTTTATTCTATATTCAATATTACAATTTTATTGGGCAATCTTGCTATACAGTCTAATATAATTTGTCAGCCAATTTTTATATTTAGCAGTTATACGTATAATTCATATTGCAGAATTTTACTGTTTATTCCATTGTCGTGTGTAAGTTTTATGATAAGGGCATACATATTCAACTTAGACATCTGCGGGATGCGAAACGAAGAAAATTGGTTTTTGGTTCATGTCGCTACGTCGATTTTTCGCCGAGTTATAGCGTTTTAAA